TCTCTCTCACGTGCAAGAAGTGTATTGTCTGCAGAGTGTACATGCTTCACTTAGCATCATGCGAGGCAAAGATAGAAGCATTTCAGGTATGCAAGGGCGAGGCATTCAAGTCCAGATGACGTTCAGAAGTAGCACCCAAAAATCAAATGATATTCAGCATTAGAAACACTAAATTTCAGATTGGACTAAAAACTAGGTGGCACCCAGGACCAAGAAACACTCAAAGCTAGGTGATACCCAGGTCCAAGAAGCACTCAATGGTAGGTGATACCCAGGAGCGAGAAGCACTCAATGGTAGGTGGTATCTAGGATCAAGAAGCGCTCAGTGGTAGGTGGTACCCAGGATCAAGAAGGGCTCAGTGGTAGGTGGTACCTAGGAGCAAAGAGTACGCAAAGGTAGGTGGTACCCAGAAGCTAGGAGTACTCAAAAGATGGTGCCAAGAACCTTAGCATCAGGTATACAGGATATGTCTCATTTGTGTGAAACAGGAATGTCACGCCCTCGCAGACAGCAGTTGCTGTTCTCTTGGCCACATAAACATATCACAGCCACAAGCATGAGAACACAGCTCAGGCATGAGAGGATTAAACAGCAAGGTAAACAACAGTGAGTAACAGAAGCGAAACGGCAGGGAAAGACGATGCTTGTGGGAAAAAAGAGCCAGTGCTATCGGATGATGATGATCATTGGGATTTAAAGGCGTATCGGCTAAACCAAATCTATCAAATTCGTTAGTGCCAGCGATGGAGAAGAGGACAAGGGCAAGACGATGCAAAAAAGGCAGATTCAAACAGTCGATGCTTGGAATCTTGCAGTCAAGGAACTGACTGAACATACTATTCTGTCACAGTCCACTTGCACTGCCAGCTGGTTGCCGGTACCTATGTCTCATGTGCAAGTCTGAACGATCAAAGGTCTGGGAGACAGTCAGGAGTGTGAATGTGGATATCAGATTCATGGTAGCGAGCCATGGCACTGCTAAAACAACATAAAATGTCGATGGAAGTAGCAATTTATCTAAGATACAAGAGGTGGAAGAACAAAGTATTATTATTTTAGATATATCTTCAGTGCAAAATTTGAAAGCTTGTCTCTTTATTGTGAATATAATTGTGGAAGTGTTCTGAACCAGTCAGGTATGAGCAAGGTGAAACTTCCTCTGGCCCGGCGCGTCTCAGAAAAGAAAAAAATAAATAATGAGATTCTCTCTCAGCTTAGTCTAAAGGGATATTTGTACTCCTTCTAGGGAATAACAGTATAAGCGAAACACCAAATACTTTTTCCTGAGTGTCGCAAAAGGACTCCTAAACTAAGCTTATGTTTGGTATTTTTCTTCAGTTCCTCATATTAGCACTGACGCTTATGTTTTCTTTGTTTATTTAATGGTTTTCTTTAAATTGTTATCACCTGAGGCACAAGACATCACTAAAACTGTGGGTCATCATAAGATAGAGAGATCATATGACTAAAACCCGAGTCAGGAAACACTTGTCCTGTTTCCTGACAAACATACCTAACCTAATCACTAAAAATATATTTAGTATAATGAGATTCTTAGGATTTTTGAGGCTAGTTAATTTCTTGTAACTATGAACAAAATTTAAATTACGGTATGATAATGCATCGACAATTTCTAATGAAGAGGCTTCCTTGAGAAATAATAATGAAAATATATGAAACTGTCAGAAGAAAGCAATCATTTTTGGTAAATCACGACCTCCTGGCCAGAGGCCTGTTTCAGTGTATGGGAAGTTCAGTTTTAAACCTGCTGATTCACTCTGCCGTGTTTGTAGGGCTCTAAGTGAGGATGTCAGGTGAGGCCACATCAGGTGAGGATGTCAAGTCAGTAGTGAGTGAGGGGGGGAAGAGGTGAGAACTCACACCAGGAGCGACAGAAGGCTTTGCCGGCCTCACAAACCAGTCTCTTGGCATGACCATCACACCAACATATAATAAACAGACACTAGACACTGGGACGTTACCACATGATCAACAAAGCTCACAATAATGTGGCTGCAGCAGTTCGCAACCAATCCCACAATTTGCAGAAGAATATTTAAACGGCATCTCTGTCCATCCTTTCTCATTACCACTTCAACTTGATAATGGTCCAAAACGGCTCGAAACGTTGTCTAAAGTTTATTCTCCCGAACTGTGGGTTAACTGCAAACATTACCACACACAAATTTCAATCCACTTATATAATTTCACGTAAGATTACATGAGTATTGTGAGCATTAATAATGTGAATATTAAGAGAACTAAAAAATACATTCTTAACCATTGAAACAGAGTGAGATATGGCGTCAGTTTACGAACTGCATCTTTTAGAATTTCTGTAGAAGATAGAAGGACTTTTAGTGTATATTATAACGTGTGTCAAGGCCGACAGAGGCGCTGCAGAGACTGGCATTGCGGGCTTCTCGATGTAGGGAGTGGTACAGTCTAAAGTCGCACTCGCACACGCACTCATTCTCGCACTCGCACGCACACACTCACGTTGAGGCCGTGGCGAAGGACGTGACCCAGGGCTCCAGCAAGTGGAAGTAGAAAGTGAAGGGGTTGCGGCCAGTGAAGAGGAAATAGAAGAGGTTTTGTATGATCCACTGGTAGATAAACACTCCCGCCACCACCGTCACGATGAAGAGTCCCAGGTTACTCATCACTGTGCCCAGGTTCTCCACACTCAGGATTTTGCTCATAATAACGCTCGCAACGCCGATGGGAGACAGCCTAATGGTGAGAAAATTATTATTATTTACATTCATGAGAAAGGGTTTATCTCGAATGAGTCGCATAGTGCCATCTGGTATATGAAAGGTTCAGAAGCACATATAGGCTCGAAATAAAAACTAATAATAATAATATCTTTATTTCTACAAGTACATGTACAAGGTATAAAGGCCTAACTGACATCAGTGACATACTACTATATAGAAAGCCGCTTGTTATGCTGAGCATTTCTGGCAAATTAGATCAATTTTGTCCCAGGATGCGACCCACACAAAGTCGACTAACATCCACATACCCATTTTACTGATGGGTGAACAGGGACAACAGGTGTTTTATGGAAACACGTCCTAATGTTTTCCAGCCGTACCGGGAGATCGATCCCCGGACGTCAGAGTGCTAGCTGAGTGCACTAACGATCGAGCTACGGGACAACACAGACTCTCTGGTCTATGCTGGGCTGCATAATCCTACGGATTTAGCGCTTCTCCTTGATGATGATGATGATAATAATAATAATAATAATAATAATAATAATAATAATGGTCTATGCAAGACTATGATCGACCGAAACGTAGTCAGCTTTCCAGTCCCATGCTCTGAAGGGTTTAGAGCATGTTTTTATTCACATTAATATCAAATATTTATCAATTATTATATAAGCGGCATATAGTACCGACCAGTAGATCAGAAAGTGACATATACAACTGTTGGATATTTCTATCGTCGAAACGTTTCGCCTGCTTGTCAAGCTTCCTCTGTCGAGTATAGGGAAGACTCAATACTGAAGACAGCAGAAGCAGTGGAGAGGTAAAGATGAGGTGGTGAGTCCCTCAGCCTCGAAGAATTAATTTTGAGGTGGTTAGGATCTGAGGGACTGATTCCTCAAGGTTACTTCTTCAAGGCTGAAGGACTGATCACTTTACTCATATATTTACTTCTTCAGATCTTCTGATGTCTTCAACAGTCTCTACTGTATTCGACTGGAGAAGCCAGCTGAGCAGGCGAAACGTTTTCAACAATAAATATACCTAATTGTTGCACATGTGTCTTCCTCACATACCACTACTGCTACTACTACTATTACTATTACTACTAATAATAATTTATGAGTGGAAGGGGGCCAGTTAGGGTCACAGTTTATTTTAAAGATCACTGCAAAGCACTTCTTAAGTCGATATTAGGAGTTTAGCATCTCAGTCTGCACATCAGAGGACGGAGGATCGAGGTTCCATGAATCCTCGGCACTGAATGACCCACACGGGTTTAGTGCTTTCCGTAAATGTAGATAAATAAATTGGAAGAAGCTAAAGGAATGAAAACGCTGACTGTTTTTTTACTTTATTTAATAAGAGAGAAAGAGAGAGAGAGAGAGAGAGAGAGAGAGAGAGAGAGAGAGAGAGAGAGAGAGAGAGAGAGAGAGAGAGAGAGAGAGAGAGAGAGAGAGAGAGAAAGAGAGAGAATACTCACCACATGACACCAGTGACAATCTTGAGGATGACAGTGTCAACTACAGAGAAGAAGTCGACCACCACGGCACCCTTCTTGCCCAGGGAACCCAGCAGAGTGCCAAATACCAGGCAGAACACGATGATACCCAGGGTATTGGTGCCTGCCCGGTATTTCACCTGAGGGAACGCTTCACATCAATTGCAACTTAAATCACTGCAGCTCAACTGAAACTTTGCTGATTTTAATTCAAGGGTCCATTATCTCACTGCAGTTAGCTGATTATCATGGCAAATACTGTATTTTAACTTCACAAAGTTCATCCATCTCCATTACAAACAAGGCTTTAGCATTTATGAAAGTAATAATAATAATAATAATAATAATAATAATAATAATAATAATAATAATAATAATAATAATAATAATAATAACTTTGGCCGACCTTACTCATCTCCTTTACCATCTATGGGTTCATCTAATGGGTCATCTATGGGATCATCTAAAAGTTCATCAAAGGGTTTATCTAAGGATTGATCTAAGGGGATTAAGGACTCATTCTAAGGGGTCACTTAAGTGTTGATCTAATGAGTGATCTAAGGGGTGAACTAAGGGATCATTGAATTATTCAGTGTAAGGGGTCGTCTAAGTCTCTAAGAGATGATTTAAGTGGCATTTTGATGGGTCATCAGAATATTCCTTGGATCTAAGGTGTGATCTAAGGGGTGATTTAAGGGTTCCGCCACCCTTAGAAGGGTTAATTCTAAGGTTCATTTAAGGGTTCATTTGAAGGTTCACGTACCGAGCGCACTAACTCCGTGATGTGGGCGTCTATGCCGCCTGTCAGATTGCTGTGCTGGATCACTTGCTGTTCCTCATACACCGTGTGTACCTGTCAGGTGAAACCTGTTAATGACACTCCTCACACACCGTGTGTACCTGTCAGGTGAAACCTGTTAATGACACTTCTCATACATCGTGCGTACCTGTCAGTTGATACCTGTTAATGACACTCCTCACACACCGTGTGTACCTGTCAATTGAGACCTGTTAATAACACTCCTCACACACACCGTGTGTACCTGTTAGTTGAGACCTGTTAATGATAATCCTCACACACCGTGTGTACCTGTTATTTGAGACCTGTTAATGATAATCCTCACACACCGTGTGCACCTGTTAGTTGAGACCTGTTAATGACACTCCTCACACACCGTGTGTACCTGTTAGTTGAGACCTGTTAATGACACTCCTCACACACACCGTGTGTACCTGTTAGTTGAGACATGTTAATGATAATCCTCACACACCGTGTGTACCTGTTAGTTGAGACCTGTTAATGACACTCCTCACACACCGTGTGTACCTGTTAGTTGAGACCTGTTAATGATACTCCTCACACACTGTGTGTACCTGTTAGTTGAGACCTGTTAATGACACTCCTCACACACCGTGTGTACCTGTTAGTTGAGACCTGTTAATGATACTCCTCACACACTGTGTGTACCTGTTAGTTGAGACCTGTTAATGATACTCCTCACACACCGTGTGTACCTGTTAGTTGAGACATGTTAATGATACTCCTCACACACCCTGTGTACCTGTCAGGTGATAAATGTTAATGTTATATTTTGCACCTCTTGTTTACACTGTACTGTTCGCGTGCGTTCCTTGTGACGAAGGTGAATGCAAGATACCTAGATTCCCCTCTTCCAAGACATCATGATACGAATCTTGGTGCAGGGGGAAGACTCCTGCAGCTCCTCTACTAAGCAAATGCATACCCTGACCTACTTCCTCTAGTGGGCCACTCTCACCTGCGATGTCACCTCCAGCTGCTTCACCTCACCTCTCCTCTAGTATATAAAATCTGGCCTTACTACGCGCTATTCAGTTTTGGATGTTGTAAGTTGATTTACGAAAACTTGTCTTGTAGAGGAGCTCTCTCTTGAGAGGCGAGTGTAAGCTTGCTCTCTACGATCTCATGTCTGTCTCAACTCACTCCCAACAAGAACACATGTCTATAAAAGCATATGTTCGAGATCATTCACACTTGTTGTTTACACTATGGCACCTTCAATAAGACCACAAGTAACACTTAATATTTTTCTGTGCAACTTAACCACTTGGAATGGGAGTGAAATTCCTAGCGATCTCGTTAATTCTCTGTCACATCTTCCAGGAGCAGTAGTTTCTCCAGAATATATCTGAAAGATCAGCAAATTCCTCGGACTCTGATGTTCTTTTAAAATTATTACATTGCATTCAGATATTAAATAGCTGGTTATACACCCCTTTATTCTCTCTCTCTCTCTCTCTCTCTCTCTCTCTCTCTCTCTCTCTCTCTCTCTCTCTCTCTCTCTCTCTCTCTCTCCACACACACAGATAGACTCAGAAGTGTCCTTGTTTGCAGATGATGTGAAGTTAATAATGAGGAGAATCAAGTCGGTCGAGGATCAGGCAGGACTACAAAGAGACCTGGACAGGCTACAAGCCTGGTCCAGCAACTGGCTCCTTGAATTTAACCCTGCCAAATGCAAAGTCGTGAAGATCGGGGAAGGGCAAAAAAGGCCACAGACACAGTATAGTCTAAGTGGCCAAAGACTGCAAACCTCACTCAAGGAAAAAGATCTTCCTTACCTCAGTAAGAACATAAGAACATAAGAACGAAGGAACACTGCAGAAGGCCTACTGGCCCATGCGAGGCAGGTCCAAGTCCCTACCGGCTTAAGCCAATGCACCCAACCTAGTCAGGTCAGGTCACATTGACTTAAGGGAGGAACACGGCAACCGACCTGTTAGCACAAGCTATCAGGTCCAAATCACACCCACCCACATCTACTCATGTATTTATCCAACCTATTTTTAAAGCTACACAACGTTCTGGCCTCTATAACGGTACTTGGGAGTTTGTTCCACTCATCCACAACTCTATTACCAAACCAGTACTTTCCTATATCCCTCCTGAATCTGAATTTTTCCAACTTAAAACCATTGCTGCGAGTCCTGTCTAGGCTAGATATTTTCAGCACACTATTTACATCCCCTTTATTTATTCCTGTCTTCCACTTATAAACCTCAATCATATCCCCCCTAATTCTACGTCTTTCTAGAGAGTGCAGTTTCAGGGCCCTTAGTCTATCCTCATAGGGAAGGTTTCTGATACATGGGATCATCTTTGTCATCCTCCTTTGTACATTTTCCAGAGAATTTATATCCATTCTGTAATACGGTGACCAAAAACTGTGCAGCATAATCTAAATGAGGCCTAACCAAGGATGTATAGAGTTGAAGAAGAACCTGAGGACTCCTATTATTTATGCTTCTTGATATGAAGCCAAGGATTCTATTAGCTTTATTGCGAACACTTATGCACTGTTGTCTTGGTTTCTGATATACTGCTAACCAGAACTCCTAAATCTTTTTCGCAATCCATAATATTAAGATCTACATTATTTAGTTTATATGTGGCATGGTTATTGTCCTGTCCAACATTTAGAACTTTGCATTTGTCTATATTAAACTGCATCTGCCACTTCTCCGACCACTGCATCAGTCTATTCAAATCTTCCTGGAGTGCTCGAATGTCCTCGTCAGAATGAATTCGACGGCCTATTTTGGTGTCATCGGCAAACTTGCCGATGTCGCTCTTTATGCCCTCATCTATGTCGTTTATGTAGATTGTGAACAGCAGGGGGCCCAACACTGACCCTGTGGAACACCGCTCGTGACGCTTCCCCACTCTGATTTCTCCCCATTTATGCAAACTCTCTGCTGCCTATTTGTCAACCATGCCTCTATCCAGGAAAAAATTTTCTCCTCCTATTCCATGTGCTTTAATTTTCCTCAATAGTCTCTGATGTGGGACCCTGTCAAAAGCCTTACTGAAGTCCATATACACAATATCATATTCATTACCATGATCTACCTCCTCAAATACCTTAGTGAAAAAAGTTAATAAATTCGAAAGGGCAGGAACGCCCTTTGTAAAACCATGCTGAGTTTCGTTGATTAATTTATGCTTTTCAAGGTGGCTACGAACTGCCTCGGCATTATTGATTCCATAAATTTTCCCATATGGAGGTTAGGCTTATTGGCCCTTAGTTCGAAGCTAAGGACCTGTCACCTGTTTTAAAAATTAGGTATCACATTGCCATTTTCCATTTATTCTGGCACCATGCCAGTTTGTAGTGATATGTTGAAAAGTTTACCCAAAAGGGTGTGCTAAGCCCCTCTTTACATTCCTTTAGAACCCTTGCATACAGTTCTTTCAGGGCCGGGGGGATTTTTTTGGGTTTTTAATTTTTTCTATTTCCCAAAAGGACCATGTCACTTGTGACCCTAATAGTGCACAGTTTATTATCGTCCTGTTCTACATAATTTATCATTACTGGAATATCGCTGGTTTTCCTCCTGTGTAAAAACTGAGAGGAAGTATGTGTTAAAAATTCTACACATTTCCTTATCACTGTCAGTTGAGCGGGACCGAGGAACTTTTGAGTGGGCCTATCTTGTCCCTGATCTTACTTCTGTATACCTGAAAGAATCCTTTTGGGTTAGTCTTCGATTCTCTTGAAACCCTTTAACCTCATAATCTCTATTTGCTTTTTAATTCCCTTTTTATTTCTCTCTTTAACTGAATATATCGATTTCTTAATTGCCCCTTCCTCTTTTGATTTGCCTTATATGCCCCTCTTTTGACCAATCAGATATTTTTAATCTATTGTTCATCCATTTAGGATCATTTTTGTTTGATCTGATTTCCCTATTTTTGGGAAAATAATTTGACTGAGCAGCTAGAACTATGCCCCGGAAAGCATCATAAACGGCAAACCCTCACCACCTACCTGACCCCTAGTCAGGTCATTCCAGTTCAGCCCCCCTAAGTAAATTTTTTAGTCCTATGAAATCAGCCAAGCGAAAGTCAGGGACGGAGACTTGATTGCCATTATTAGGGGAATTCCATGATATGTTAAAATGAGTGATTTTTTGATCACTTTTCCCCAAGCTCATCATTAACTAAAGATTATTAATTAGTGTTTCCCTACTGGCAAGAACCAAGTCAAGGAGGTTATTTCCCCTAGTTGGCTCTGTCACAAACTGTTTTAAAAAACAATCCTGGATCGTATCAAGAAAGTCACCCGACTCTAAATTTCCTGTCAAATTGCTCCAGTCAATCTGTCTATAGTTGAAATCTCCCATTAGCACAACATTTTTCGTATGTAGATGCCTTACGAATTTCGTCCCATAGAAGTTTACTGCACTCCTATCAAGATTTGGGGCCCTGTAAATCACACCCAAATTAGTTTTTCTCGGCCCTCGAGAAGCTGTAACCAAACAGATTCAGTGGCTGACGCTTCTAATTTAATATCTTGTCTAACAAAAACAATTTAAATTGTCTCTGACATACATCGCTACTCCACCACCTTTCCTGTTGACCCTGTCAGTGTGGAATAATTTATAGCCTTGTATGTGACATTCAGGGCATCTCTCTATCTTTCAGATTGAGCCAGGTCTCTGTTATAGCAATAATATCTATGTTTCCTGCACTTGCAATTAATCTTAGCTCATCTATCTTATTTCTAACACTCCTGCTATTAGTATAGTAAACCTTAAGGGAGCTAGTCCCTTGCTGCCCTCTGCTGTCCCCCTTTGTTTGCTGACCTGTTCTATTGTCTTTATTTATAACTTCATGCTGAATGCCTTTATACATTTACTGTTTCCAACCCTAGTGTTGCAACCTGCTTGTTTCCCACACACACCCATACCTCTATCTTCCATCAGTTTAAAATCATAGGCATTTCACCAATGGCCTTCTCAATCGAGTCTGCAAGTGCTACCACCCCTGCCCCAGAGAGATGAACCCATCCCTTGCATACATATCATGTTTGC